TTTATAGATACATTTTCACGAAATCTTTTGTTTTACCTTCCGTCATGTCGAATAATTTCTGGCAATTATAAAAAAGTGATTATAGTTATATGCATGAGATTCTTGCAAGTTAAGGGACATACCAATTTTTCTCCCATTCAAACCAAAATTATAGCTCAATCTATTATTTAAAACACCAATGGGTCGAGTTCGGGCCAGTCCATAGTGTTCACCTGTACCTTTTTTTTAAAAAAAGTTTATCTTGACCCGTACTCGTTAACCCGATGGGTCTTGAAGTTTAATCCTAGATTTGGATCCATTGGGTGTCGGGTATCGATTGGGTATACCCATGATAAAAGTTCACGTCCTTTCTTTTTCTATAATTGAAAAAAATTTAGTGAAAGTATTATGAATAAAAACATCTTAATTGAATACAAATGAAAATAACACTAATACGTACGTTACTACAACAAAAAACATTCTTCTTTACCAAAAGTCTGCAACAAAAATTTTAGATTCATAATCAATGTTCTTTTCACATTCATTATGTTGCAAGAGTGTTCTTTGTAACATTAAAGTTAATTCTAAACTATCCATTTCATACTAGTGCACAAACTAACGTGTACATGTCTAATGTGGTGAAATAATTTAATTACAAATAGATTTTGGAGAAGAAGAGGAGTAACAAAGAAAGGAGTGGGGTTTTGTAATATTTAATATTATCTACTTATTTAACCAGTGCGGGTTTTAAACGGGTCGAGACTACTCGTCCGATATCCGATCCTTTATTTTTAAAAAATACTCCGTACGTAGTAACATGTACGGGTTCGAGTACGGATAAAAGTTATTTTTCATATTCCTAAAAAAATTAAATTCTTTTTGTATAACTTTTTGTTTTATAACTTAATTGGGGTATAACTTTTTGTTTTATCTTAATTAAATTCTCAAAGAAATGGTAATTTAATTTACCCATAGCTTTCTCACTCCTCTCTCTGTATGTTGCTTGAGCTTCACGGAAGACGGCGCAATTTAAATCAATTTAAATTCTGAAACAGTGTCAACCGAGACGAGATAAAATTTATCTTTTTTGAAATCATTTTATTTATATATTGGTACCTCGATCAGAAATAAAAGTTACATACTGAAATACTATGTCAAAACCTTACAAAAACAAGATGTGAAAAAAATATTTTATTTTATCAAATACTCAATGAAAACACACAAATGAATAAAACTTATTGGAAGAAGCAGAGAGAAAAAAGACTGTAATCTAATTTAGGATCGAGTGAGTACTTTACTTTATTATTTATTTTTTTTTATTACTCCATGTTATTATTATTATCATTACTATATATTATTATTATTATTGTTGTTATTAAACCCTATTATTCTCCTCCTTCAATCAATCAAAAGAGATTTTTTCTAGCCTTTATTTTTTCTCACAGAAAAATAATAAAACTTGAAAAATTTAAAGAATAGGAGTTGAAAGTAAATTTGCTTTGTTTGAAGGAGTTGAGAATAGAACTTATGTGATTGAAACCAATATTATTTTAAGGAGAATTTACATAAATATGACTATAACATAATGAGTTTCTCAATATAGGATCATATGTTTTTATTTATCAATGTAGGACCATTGGTCATTATCTATTAATCATTATTCAAGTAAATGTCCAATTGCCCACCATCATTGGACATTATTTCTCATACTAGACATTATTAAGTACTCCGTATAATTAAGAAATAAAAAATTCAAGTCTTACATTAGGAAAAGATTTATAATTTAGTCCTATTTAGTACAAATTTCACTTATTTTAATATGTGCCAAGCTGTAGTTAATGGTTGAAAAAGAGTAACGTCATTTTTTGACACCTTGGTTTCTCATGTAAGAATACTATAGTACAAAAATACTAGGGGTACACCAAATGGGGTACCCCATTTGTACCCCTCCATCTCCACCACACAAAGGAAAAAGAGGAAAAAAAATTAGAGCAAATTCTATAATTGGTCCTTTATAATAGGAGAGTTTCCATATTTAGTCCTTCATTATCAAATATTACCCCGTAGTCATTTTTTTAAGAGTATCTTTCTACAAATGGTTCTTTTTTAAATTTTATCTTCTGCCGTGTTAGTGTTAATTTAAAGGCTAAAGTATAATTTGACATCAACATTATGTCTAGTGACGTGTTCTGATATTGGTTAAGCAGATAACACAAAAATAATGACTATGGTTGTGGGCTAGGGTTCTGATGAAAAACCACATTTGTAGACTATGGTTGTAGTAGAAAGCGATTGTAATTCACAAACGACGCAAACGGAACAGCCTGTTGAATTGTATATGACAAAAAAGATATATTATCATTGTGAAATTACACTTTTATCCCTCAAATTAACACAAACAGGATAGAAGATCAAAACAAGGACTATTTTTGAAAAGGTACCCATAAAAGAAGGACCACTGGGATAATATTTGATAATAGAGGACTAAAAAGAAAAACCCCCCGATTATAAAAGACCAATTATAGAATTTACTCAAAAAATTAAAAATGAAAAAAGAAATGGAGAGTTATGATGAGTGATGTACAAATGGGGTACACCAAATGGTGTACCCCTAGCATTCCTCATACTAGTAATACCCTTGACGCCTCAATAGACGTTTTACGCCATAGGGCGCCAAAGACCGCTCCCCTTCATCGTCATTCGGGCATCAAGTCTGTTGTGTAAAATGTTTGATGCACCATGTGTGCCCTTGAGGGTGTGCAAAGTGCTAACCGCACAGGGTCCCTAAAATTTTAAGGCCTCATATTTTTAAATTTGGCATTTATTTTAAAGCATAAGTATTCTAAAAAAATAAAATAGGACCCATAATGAAAATTTTGGATCAGGCCAATTTTTTTTTTTAATTTTTTGGGGCTGGCTCTAAGAGGCACAGCAACATGAGACCGCTCCCCCCCCCCCCCAACGGTCCAAATTATGACGGTTGGCTAAAATTATATATATATATATATATATATATATATATTTTTANTAAATGCCCCTTCTTTTAAACTCAAAAAACACACACAACATATTCTCATTCTCTCTATAATTCTTTCAAAATACTACCTTCGTCCCACTCTCTTTGTCTACTTTTGACTTTTGGAACTGTTCATCTAAGCACTTTGACTCATCAAATTCTCTTAATGTGTAAGCCTAAATATAGTCATGTGTGATCTTGTTTGATTTGTCTTAACATATAGATTATTAATATATGATTTCTATAATTTTTTAATATACAAATTACAAGATAAAATGGATTAAAGAAATGCATTGGATGGTGTGCCAAAAGGTAAGTGGACAAAGAGAGTGGGACGGAGGAAGTATATTTTATTTCATTTAATTGTCTCTATAAAATACTCAAAAAATAGGATCATCTTCATCTGACGATGAAAGAAGAGGTCTCATTTTTTTCGCGACTAGATGTTACCAATGATGGTAACAAGGCCAACTAGAGGAAGCGAAGTCGTCCTAACACTCGATGACACGTGAGCCTTTAAACAGTTATCGTGTGGTTGCACACGAATCACTGCTCAACTACTACAATACTCTGTGTGTCTACACACCGGAGAATTTTAGTACTCGTTTTTGGATGAGTTGTTCTTTGTTTTTACATACACTCATAGATATTAAACGCAAGGTGACTTGGTTCACCAAACGGGACGACTGGTGATATGTTCAACGCAGTTTTAGCAGCGTCCAGAAGTGCACCACCACACTTCGTCAGATGGCGTACGGAACGGCTAGTGATATATGTTTGACAAATATATACTTGAAGATGTTGGCTCGAAGCATTAGATCATGTGTTTATAAATTTCTGAAAGCTATTATTCGACTTTATGATACAATTAAAGGTATTTACGTGAGGCGATAGCGATCGACATTGAGCAGTTACATGCGAGACATACCGCTAAACACAATTTTGTTGGCATGCTTGGGAGCATTGATTGCACGCATTGGAATGGAAAAATTGTTTCACTGCGTGGCATTGTCAGTTCTCCCTAAGTGATCATCCCAAACCTACTATTATACTTGAAATTGTGACTTCAAATGACTTTTGGTGATGCGTGCTCGAAAAATGACATCAATATTTTTTACTATTGCAATTTTCAAAAAGAAAAGAGGAAGAAGTTTTTGGGAGGGGAAGGGTATTACCCAGTACGTAGGGCACAGTACGTGGTGCGTGTGCGTACATAGTATGGCTTAATAAATGGAGATAATTGGTCTAATGAAATAAATTAATAGTGGGCCGGGAGAGGGACGGTTGGTCTCCGGCCTTGTGTTTGACTCCATCCTGCATGCGTGGCAAAAGCGGAGGGAGCTAATTTACATATACTCGACCGATCTATGGATCACTTACTTCTCCTTTTTCTTCACTCACAAGGTAATCATCATGTCATGTGTGTGTACATGAGAATTGTAACATCTCTTGCTTCCACTTCACATCATCATCATCATCACTCCTCCTCTCCTCACCTCATTTGTCTCATCTTTACCCATTTTAGAGTATAAAATTTATATCCAAGTAAGAACTACAAACTTGAACTTTTTCGTTATATGTTGAGTTGATTCCTTGACGTGGTATATTAGAGCTTTGATGATGATCGGGACGTAACGAGATCAAACTTCATTGTCATCAGTTTTAGAAAATAACTTTTAAGTGCAAGGATCGAACAAAAATAAATCTCTCTACCAATTTCCCGTTTAAACTCTTTTTGGAATTTAATGGACGAATATTTTTGTTTTGATCTTTCAAACTATTCCTGATATGATGAGTAAAAATAGGACGTTATGGGGTAGATTAGTATGGAATAAATATGATTTGATATATATTGTAAAAATTAATAAAGATAAAAATGACTTTTTGATATGAATTAAAGTGGAAAGATTTTTCAGAATGATGAAAAAAGGAAAGGGGAAATCTTTTAGCGACGGAAGGATCGGTGTATATGTTTTATAGAAATCACTCTAAATAGGACTAAAACATAGAGAAAATTACCAAAATAGGACTTTCATGTATTTTTTCTCGAAATAGGACTTTCCATTGCGGTAATGTGGCACTGTACATGTGCACATTATTACTATACTTTTTTTGTAATGTACATGACCATGTTTGATAATGTAAGTTCTATTTCGGAAATAAAAACATAGAAGTCTATTTTGGTATATTTTCAATATTTTTGTCCTACTTTGGTCTTTCTTCGAGTTTGAATTTTTTCGATCCCTTTATTTATCTTTAATTACCACCCTTATTTAGCTTCATCTTGATCATCTCTCCCATGCATTACTACTTCTCTCTACCCATCACCATCACCCCCAACCCATCTTATCTTAACCATATATAGCTCCGACCAATTCCCTGCTGCCGCAGCAAAACAATGCCGATGGGGAAGCCGGAAAACCCTCCTCCGGCAGCGGCAGCGGCGAAAGAGAAGGGGAAGAAGAAGGCGGGGGCGGCGAAGCTGAGGAAGGGGCTGTGGTCGCCGGAGGAAGACGAGAAGCTGATGGTGTACATGGTGACCAACGGGCAGGGCTGCTGGAGTGACATTGCCCGGAACGCCGGCCTCCAGAGGTGCGGCAAGAGCTGCCGCCTCCGGTGGATCAATTACCTCCGGCCGGACCTCAAGCGCGGCGCCTTTTCCCCCCAGGAACAAGATCTCATCCTTCATTTGCATTCCGTTCTCGGCAACAGGTTTGTTTAAATTTACAACAAAACTTAATTAATCCCCGCCCATTTAAAATTTAAGGATAATTAAAAATGTAATCTTCAATAATTATATGAAAATTATATATATATATATATATTATTCTACAATTTCTATATTTCACATACCACATGTATACATAAAATGATGTGGCTCTCGAGATTCACTCGATTCGGTTCAGTTTGATCTTCTTGAGTGAAAATTAAACCAAAACCAAAATTGAAGAGTGAGATTAATTTTTTTTTTAAATTTCATTTTGATTGATTTCAATTTGCTCATAAAATCTACTCTCTACTTTTGTTAAACGAGTGAAAAATGAAAGAGGAAATATTTTTAAAAGGTACATATTTAATTTTTCTTAAAATATACTTTTTCATCCCGAATTATATATCGTCCAACGTGCGTGACTTTATAACGTGACTATAATCAAATTGACTATTTTAGGTCATTTTTTATCATTACCTATTTTCGTTAATTATTTGGTAAAATACCGTAGTCATATAATTTCTTCTCTCAAAAAGAATTTAATATATTAATTTTATTATAAAATTTTGTACTACTATTAAAATAAAGTAAATAAAAAAATTAAGTCAATTATCGTAATTCACAATGTGACCATTAATTTGGAACCGATGAAGTAAAATAAACTGTATGAGGATGTACTCGATCGGTAAAATATTGTTAAATTTGTCTCAATGTATACTCTGATAGTATAACCCTTTTTATAGTATTTTTCAAAAAGATAATTAATAAATTAATGGTTAAGTCGGATACGGACAAATATAAAATTAAAATGGTTTCAACAACTGTATTAAAGAAGAGATGAAGTATACTTTACAAAAAAATGCATGACAAACACGCATTTATTTTCTTAATTATGTGCCGAGTAAATCTTAAGTTTGTTTGAGATAACTTGAAAAGGAAAAAAGTGACTATTTGGGAGTGATATAATTTTGGAGTAAATAATACGCAGTTTTTATTTACTCAGTGCCATATTGGACAATAACGTAAATATACAAATTAAAATGCATGCAGATTTATTGTCTTCATGCACACACGCAAACAGACAAAAAAACATGGGGACGTACTACTTAATCTAGGATTATCAAACTACTCCCTAAGGAATTTACGTAAATAGCACTAAAACATAATGACTTTTCATAAATAACACTATATGTATTTTTCCTAATGTAGCTCTTTTAGTCATTATCAATTAGTCATTATTCAAATAAATATTTGCCATAAATGGTCATTATAGACATTATTAAGTGTTATTTAGGGAATAAAATATTTTAAGTGCTATTTAAAAAATAACTTAAGTTTTAGTGCTATTTATTGCAAATATTTCTTTGTTTTATTCTTTAGACATGTTCATTAAACATTTGAAAAAAAATAATGTAGTTACTTTTTAATTAAAATTGTCAAGGAACCAATTCAACCAAAAACTCAAGTTTGTGGTTGTAGTCCAAGAAAGGTTTTTGATACTCTAACATGTCCTCTCACGTGCAGGCGTGACTTCTTTGAGCCTTGCACGTGAAATTTTTAATTTTTTTAAACTGGATGACGATAAATTTCGAACTTGTGACCTCGTGGTCATCAAGACTTTGTACCATGTCAAGGATCCAACTCAACTAAAAGTTCAAACTTGTAGTTGTGGCCCAGGAAATATTTCTTTTTAGAATGCAAATATCCTTTCCAGAGTCATAACCACAAGCTTGAGCTTTTGGTTGAGTTGATTCATTCACATGATATCGAAGTCTTGTTCATGACTAAGAAGTCAGAGGTTTGAAACTCAGCGCCAGTCAATTTTTTTTAAAAAATTAAGGTTTCACGTGCCACGTTCGAACCACAAGCTTGAAATTTTGGTTGAATTGGTTCCTTGACAAAAAAGTAATAATTTTATTTTTATTTCTAAACAAAATCTTAAATAAAATGAATTGAAAATAATTTCAGTCAATAATATAATCTTAAACCTGGAGAAGAATAATATTACTACATTTTTTAGACGGAGGGAGTATCAAACTATACTCCATGTGTCTCAACAGAAAATTTCAATTATGGTGAACAAAGTCTGATTGAAGTTATTTCTATTTTTTTAATATTAGTGTTAAATTTAGAGGAATTTACTTAAATAACACTAGAATATAATGATTTTTTTCTAAATAGAACTATATGTGTTTTTTCCTAATGTAGTACTTTTAGTCATTATTCATTAATCATTATTATTCAAGTAAATCTTCGCCATCATTGGACATTATTCCTCCTTCTGAACATTATTAAGTATTATTTAGGGAAATGACTTAAGTTTTAGTATTATTTAGTGCAAATAATTCTTGAATTTATACTATAGTTGCATATTCAAATAATCAAATGATACACATCCTTTCAGAACAAACAAAAAAAATAAACAGTAATAATAAGTGAAATTTGCACTGAATAGGACTAAAATATAAGTCATTTTTTAATGTAGGACTTGAACTTTTTTATTCCCTAAGTACGACTTAATAATGACTACTGAAAAGAATAATGTCCAAGTGATGCTGGACATTTAGTTGAATAATGACTTATAAATAATGATCAATGGCCCTACATTGGAAAATAAAAACATATGGTCATATATTGAGAAAGTCATTATGTTTTAGTCATATTTTAGTAAATTACCCTAATAATAATAATATTTAATAAGAATAATAATAAGTGAAATTTGCACTGAATAAGACTAAAATATAAGTTATTTCCCAATGTAGGACTTAAACTTTTTTATTCCGCAAATATGATTTAATAATGACTAGTAAGAAGAATAATGATCAAGTGATGCTGGATATTTAGTTCAATAATGAGTAATAGATAATGACCAATGGTCCTATATTGAGAAATAAAAATATATGATCCTACATTGAAAAAGTCATTATGTTTTAGTCCTATTTACTTAAATTACTCTAATAAAAATAGAGAGTAATAATAATGTGTAATAATTAAAAAATAAATAAATATTGCGTCACTAAGGTGATGATGGATGTATATGATGTGCATGCAGGTGGTCTCAGATAGCGGCGCGGCTTCCAGGGCGGACAGACAACGAAATCAAAAACTTCTGGAACTCCACCGTCAAGAAGAGGCTCAAAACCGCCACCTCTTCCTCCACCCTTTCCCCCACCGACTCTTCCACCTCCGATTTCAACACTAACTCCGCGACGGCGCCGCCCTTCCTCTGCACCACGGCGGCGGCGGCCTCCCTTCTTCCTCCCATCCCGCCGGCCATCCCCCACCAGCACTTCGACCCCTTCCCTCAGTACCAACACCACCACCACCTCGCCGCTGACATCGGCTACGAGGCGTCAGGGCTTTTCGGCTTTCCGCCGCCTCGTAGTCCCGGCGGTGGTGAGGAGTTCTTTCTGGGTGACTATGATGCCTTGATGGGGTTTGAAAATGACCTTTCTGCCCCTCCAGTGGAGACCCGTACTACTCCTCATCATCACTACGACAATAATAACAACAACAACGCTGCTAATAATAACGTTGTTGGGGAGGGGAATAGTTTGACTAACGTTGACTGTTATGATGACAAAAAAGAGAACAACAACAACAATAACGACAACAACGTTGAAGAGATGACGACAGAGCTTAAGGTTGAGGACTACATGGTAAATGGTGTTGGGAATAATAATCATCATCATTATTGGAACGGAGAAAGCTTAAGAATGGGAGAATTGGATTATTGGGAAGGTTTGTTGGCTAATCTTCCTTCATTACCTTACTTAGGGTAAACGTTTTCTCCTTATCAAGTTTGATTGGACGTACGTATATATACACACACACACATATATGTACTGTTTTGGTTCTTTAATTTCTCCACTATTCTTTGAGTACTTTTTCTAAGCTACTTGAAAGTAATTAAGGTTAGGTGATATGTCATTATAACATACACACATGGAATAAATCTTCATGAGATCGAAGAAGAGAGGCATGCATGTGAGAATGTATACCATTGCATGCCACGTACGTACATAGAATGTGAGATGTTTGATTAGCTAGGTAGGTGTGGATGAAAGTTATGAATGTTTAAGAGATGAAGTATATATATAACTTCTTCTTTTGTTTTGTTTTTTCTGTTCTGGAGAAAGAGATGAAGGTTACACCTTGTAATGTTTGTACTTGAATTCTTGCCACCACAAAAGTATAAATACATGTTTAATTTCTTTTGTTTTATGTTACGTTTTTAAATTTACCCATTGTTTAGAAATGTGGCACGGACAGTGGCAGATCCGGAAATTACAAAAACTGGGGGCGAACAAAAAAAAAGTTCCGGGTTTTAACCAAATTATAAAGAAGAGATGAAAGTTACCTTAAAGAATAAGGTGATATACTGATGTACAATGTCAAAATTTGAATGAACAGCTCACACCTGAAACGATTAGAATAAACTATTTGAGAGTTAATAACTCACTCTGTTAGTATTAATGAAACATCAAAGCATCAAAGGGTATAGCAAAAAGATACGAGTAATTTTTATTACAAACTAAAAGAAAATATAATTACAGCCTTACAGGTTTACAATTGTCCCCTACGAGCTTTCATACTTTGAAAATGATTAATTACAATCTCATTGCTAATGATATCAAGAATATCCGCGGCCTTTTCTATAAAGGATACAAGACAATCATTTAAAAACTTATCACTCATCCAATTCTGGAAATATGTCTTCACGATGTTCATTGCTGAAAAGCTTCGTTCAACGCTTGCGATTGCCACAGACAAGATTAGTGCTAACTTCAAAAGACGAAACACCAACGGAAAAGAAAGATTCTTCTTTTGTATTCACCAACATTTTGGAAAGTTCAGCAAGACCATTGATATTAGAAAACCTCTCATTTGAGCTTACATCGATCATCAATATAAGTTTCAAGTTGATTTCCAAGTTCCATCATGCATGTTAGAAAAAATCATCAGGATAAAATTGAGACAACCTTACCAATTTATAGGTACTAAAATTACAGAATGAATAATTTGGACTCAAGCAAGCAACACAAAGGAACAATTCAGTATTCACTTCGTCAAACCGGTGATTGAGTTCTGCAAGTTGTTCATCCACAATCACGGGAAATAAAAGAACATGAAATTGATACAAATTGGTCACACCACTCTTGCGTCGAGGATGATCAGGATTAACATATTGTTCTTCCATGACCATGAATCGAATTCTATATTTATCACAAAAAGAAGTTATTTTTTCAAGAAGAGATTTTCACCCGCTAACTCTCAGTTTCTGTAATCTTCGCTTGGCAACTTTGAAAGTGATACAACATTCATAATATCTTGATCCTTTCCTTTCTTTGCAAATCATTTGACAGCTCATTTGTTGTTCCCAATATCTCCATCATCAAATGAAGGAGAAACACAAATTCAAATGATTGGAAATATCTCAAAACACCACGGGCTTGAGATCTTTTATGTTCCCGAATCATATCTCGACGCTTACAAGAGGCTCCAACGACATTCAATAAAGTGTTGATCATGTTAAAAAAATCAACCACGTCAAGATTTTTTTCCATCACAGATTCAAGTGCCAATTGAAGTTGATGAGCAAAACAATGAATGTAATAGGCTGAATTACTTTCTTTCAAAATTAAAGTTTTCAAACCTTTAAACTCGCCTCACATATTGCTAGCTCCTTCATGGGAGTCATAACATTCTGGTCCAGAAGATTTAACACAGTTGTAATGGGAGTCTAAAAATTAATTTGAATACTTGTTTCTAAATTATGGATGAATAATATTTCTCATAACACATTATTCATTGCCATAGTAAGGGAAGAATATGCAAAATTTAAAAAAAAAATAAAATTGTAAGGTAATGGAACACATTTTTTGAAATATTAATGCTTTAGGGCCTCTTTGGTGAGCGAACCCGTTATTTTGATCTCTGATATCAAAATCCTAAAATTCATGTTTGATGAATAAAAAAGGTTTTATGAATAATACACTACAAAAAACACGCGTTATTGGCACGGACTTTTGGCACGGATGCCAATTATAATTTTTCGTGGCAGTAGCATTAGGCACGGAATTTGGCACGGATGAAAAGACCTGCCAATTTCGAAGCTCCAAACCTTATGGCACGGATTTCTTGTCCGTGCCATATAAAGGCACGGAATTACCCGTGCCGACACCATTCCAAACTCACGGTTTGGAGGAAAACGTCAATGTTTATAGGCACGGATCTCGCCGTGCCAAACGAGTGTTCTTACCATTCCGTGCCTTTTAAAATTTTCAAAATTTGAAAATTTATTTTTTCAATTCGTGCCTAATTATTAAAAATAAATTTGAAAATTTGAAAATTATTTTTACCATTCCGTGCCTTTTGAAAATTTTCAAAATTTGAAAATTTGAAAATTTATTTTTTCAAAATTTGAAAATTTATTTTTTCATGGAACTATCCGTGCCTAATTATTAAAAATAAAAAAAATAAAAATTTCAATTCGGCAATATTACAAAATTTAACAATAAAAGCATCTAATATTCACACCATAATAACAAAACTGATTAAATTTAAATAAAATGACAAATAATATTCATCACATCCAATAAATAATAAATGTTCATACCACATTCATCTCACAAATAAAAATAAAAGTTACAAATTATCATGATTTAAATAACTTTTAACATCACAGTTATTAGAATTATGTCCTTTAGATGAATTTTGGGCTCGCATTCGAATTCATGAGTGTCCGAACTTGAGACGAATACATGCTTTGGATATAAAAAATTGACCGAATCTTTCCATCCCTGAAATTGAGTTAATAATTCTCCTTGTGTGCAGTTTCTCTACAAAAAAAAGTAAAAACAATTTAAACCTTATTAAAGATGAAAGTTAATAATTTAGATTAAGGGAATTAAAAAAAAAATCACCTTGTTAAAAAACAACCGGTTGACGACCTTAAAGAAATTGGGCGTGTCATCATCCTCCTCCTCCTATTAAAAAAATTGAATTAAATTATTTACGTAAAGTAAAAAAAATTGAATTAAATTATGCTCAATTGCTGGCTGAACGAAAAAAATGGAAAAATAAAGTAATTAAAATATTGAAAAATAAAATCGAAAGAAAAAAATAAATATTGTAAAAAATTACCCCTTTAGATCGGACTTGGTGATGAACCGTGGGTGCTCGGCGTTTGACACAGCACACTGCGCTCTCTTCTGTGTGAGGAACCGCCGCTTCTTCTCCACGCTCGTCGCCTCCACACTCAACCATATCCTCACCCTCACTTTGCTTTTTGAAAAAAGGATTGCGATGTAGCCGCCGGCGAAGGAGATTTTGACGCCCCTCTAGATAGCGAACGACAGAAGCTACCCCACCCCGGACATGGATACTCCCTTGAAAAGAAGTGTTTCTTGAAGAAGAAATTGTTAGGAGGGGAAAAGAGATGGCTGAGGACGGGCTCGGGTAAGGGCTGAGGAGAATAGCGGCGGCATTTGAGGAGAATGGGGAAGGGTTAGGGAGTTTGTGAAAAAATGAGACTGATGGAATGAAAGGGTTTTAATATTCTTTAACTTAGGCACGAATTTTGGCACGGGCTTCGCCGTGCCTATAGCGCACTCTGACACACATTAATAATTACGCGCTATAGGCACGGATATATCCGTGCCTACGCCCGTAACTTGTGCGCATCATAATTGATGTAGGCAATGGCAGGGTTATAGGCACGGATATATCCGTGCCTACGTATAGCTCGTCAATGGCTTTGTCAGAGAAGATTCTAGTATCGACTATAGGCACGGACAATTCCGTGCCTATATTTTGGACTTAACGCTGTCGAGTGAAGCTGGTGACGGTTTTAGAATTACGGTGTTGGCACGGACTTAGGCACTGAAAAGCCAGAGCCAACGCCCTTCACATATTAAATAGCGACGCGTGGCGTTAATTTCTTTTCTCGGTGAAGGCACGGAACGTCCGTGCCTATATTTCCGTGCCAATTACGCGGTTTTTTTGTAGTGATATGACACCATTATTTAATCCCTTCTTATTTTTTTCACCTAAAAAGGATATGATTTATATGAATTTCAAATTTTAATTTTTAACTCTTCACCAAACAATTATGAATAATATGATTAGAATTCTTTTCTATTTTCTCCAAACTACCTATTGCCTGCCACCTCTGTAATCATTTACTACATTTTGATTTCAAATCTCTTCAAAATTTATTTCGGATATTAGAATTATATTATTGTTTCCAAATTTGAAAACTTATATCATTTCATATCTTCAAAACTTAATGAACCGGCCCTTAGTAAGAAACCTTAACAATGGTCTACATATGCAATATTTATGGCTAAGTGCACACCTCTAAATGGTCGCTTTAACCGAGTGGTTAAGGCGTGTGCCTGCTAAGTACATGGGGTTTCCCCGCGAGAGTTCGAATCTCTCAGGCGACGTTTACGATTTTTGCAATTCAGAATTTTAAAGATTCTTAAATTTATTTGCTCTTTCCGATTTAACATTTATATCATTGTGTATTGTGGCTGTAATCGTTTTTCATATTTTATACTCGTACTTTGGAATCAAAAGTAAAACGGCATATTAAAAGAAATTAAAGAAAGTAAATAATAAAGTAATTAAAGAAAGTAGATAATATTTGATTGTGCAAATAATTCATTAGCAATTTATTCCCGAAAAAAGTGAGCGTATGTTTTTTAATATGTTTTGGTCTTTGTAAATTTATCAAATTTTTATTTTAAGATATCTTAGGTTTTTTCCAAAGGAAAATGATTTCCAAGAAAAAATATTTTTCTTTGGTAGGAATGGAAATGTTTTTTAAAAAATGATAGTTTCTTTGGTTAATATTTAAAAACTAGTATTAGAAAAGACGTTTTGAGATAGTTTAATACTTCGTAATATTTTAGTAGAAGGGGGCGAAGCATGGTGGTGGGGGAGTTGAACAGGGTTCATGGGCGTGTGGCGAGTGATTAGAGACAATGGGTGAAGTTGGGGCTGGGGTGGGTAGGCTGGGGCGAGGAGGGTGGGACTTGAGAGGGAGAGGGTGGAAGTGGAATGTTTGGCGAGGGTGACCAGGGCGGGGTGGGTGTGGACGAGGGAGTGTAGAAGGGTGAGGAGTGGGGTTGATAAGGTGATAGTGTATGCAGGATCGAGGTAAGGGGTGACGCGGGGGGTAAGGAGAGGGGTGGTGCTGTTGAGGGCAAGCATGGGGGCTGGGTGGACCGGTTGGGTGGAGATGGGGCAATGGGAGAATGAAATAGAATCAAAATTTTCATAAAATATATTTTTTCCCCAACCAAACATACACTCTAAAAATTTTCTTAATTAATTCATCAATGTAAAAAAAATCAAGTAGCCCACCCACAAACTTTTCTTAATTAACTCATTAATATTGCTTTTGAACCTCTCGTTCATATCTATTCTTTGGGAGGGATGGTCACTTCACAAATTGGATTGTCTTTGATAGGGATTAGGGAGCTTGATAGAAATTAAAAAGGACTAGTGATAACTGAATTTGACAATAAGATACTTGGCTAAACGACATTAAAAGATTAAATTCAATCGATTATTCAATTCAACGCAAGAGCTTATAAACCAATTTATTTTTTTAAGTCTCGATGTAGAATACTTTTTAACAGAGCTCATCACTTTGATTAGGGGGGGCTTACTTTGACCATTGTTCTATTTATGTTTTATGCATCTTGTCTTAATATCAAAATTGTGATTTATCAGGTTATGTATATATGCCGTTCTCTGCTTGCATGATCCACTGTTTTTTTTTTGCAGCTTGTATTTTTTAAATTAAAAAAAAAACAACTGCGGCTTTTATTTGTGCCGCTTGAATTTTATTTTTAGGTCTTTTTTTTAAAATTTGGAAAATTTTGTATAGGCGACATGTTTTAATCTTAGGTAAGAAGTTCTTTCTTAAAGAACATGTTCTTTTGGATGAAAAATTTAATTTCAGATTTCTCCCAATTATTTTTTCAACTAATTTCAATTTATTCCAACAATTCTATATTCATATATCTTCTTTCAACTTCTTTTATTTTCCTTTCGACCTTAAATAGAACCCTTAACGCACTGGGTAAAGGTAGCAAAACCACTACAAATTGTTGTCTTTTTTGCCTTCGCACCCTGCATTCTTACTTTGGTCTGTCCCTAATGCCTTTTTAGCCCATTTTGTACCCCACATCTTTACCCTGTTACTTTGATCATTCATACAGACACAAAACACATTTTTTATCACAATAACATTTTATGTCAATGTGAACTATCAAATACTGGCTATACAAATCTCTAATGTACAAAATGGGACACACTCCAGAAGTGTAGAAGTAACATGGTTGAATTCACATCAAAAGTTAATTCTACATCAAATGGAATACCCCATTTTGGACACCAAGGTTTGCATCGTCATTTTCATAATCACACTAACACAAAATACCAGTGCAAAATTTTTCATCTCACCAGCATTTTGAGCCAATATGCCCCTCAAAGTGACGGTACAAATGCAATACATTCCTCGGTGTAGAAATAGCAACAAAAGGAATATAAAAACAGGATTCATATCACAAGTAATTTCCTACCCCGAGTACAAAAGTAATTACGAGGAAATTTAGTGAAAAAATAACATCAGCAAAATACAGAAGCTTTTCAGTTATTACACCTAGAGATGTGTACCATGTAAGAAGGGGAATGGAATTTGTGTAGTAGTATTACAGAATGAAAGATTACACAAACTGTGCGATCTGGACATGATTTCTTGAATACAGTCCAGATGACAATTTCTTGACATTTGATTTTAATGAAATAAAAGATTGAAATCTATCAATTTAGTAGTAGTAGTAAGAACTAAGAACTTCATGATACCTTTTGTGTCGGTTTCGCCATTTATAGCTTCGCCCTTTTGCTTCCTTCCCGCCACAGCAAAAAAAAAACTAGCTGCAAAAGAATAGCGCCGCCACTATATGTATACTTCGCTTCCCCTAATTAGTTTTTTGTCAAAAAGCAAAAAATAGTAATGGTAATATTATAACAACAACAATAAACGAATGGTGTTTTCTCAGGCTACGAGCTGTTGATCGAGTTGCATCTGCTCAAGCCAAGCTCCCAAGACAGAATAATCGATGGGATCAATTTGAGAACCGGCGGATTTCAAACCCTCACCGGGTGGAGGAGCACCGCCAAGGGCCTGGGTGGTTGACAATGGCTTGGGGTTCATCTCATGGGGTGGTTGTTCCTTGACGAGAGATTGCACCCATGACAAATCAGGCCCTGACTTCCCATTCTCATCAGAGCTTCCAGCATGCCACAGCTTATGATCACCGTTGACCGACCAGTCAATGTTTGTGTCAAGCGAAGACCCCAGGTTTGACCAAGACTTGCCTGTGTGGGACCCACGCCGCCCGCTCATTGGGGATAACGGATCCATGCCGCTTCTGGGGGACATTCTTCCAGGGGATGAGACTGCAAACGGAGACTGCAAAAGAGAGTGGTGGTCGGAGTTTTTTGGAGAGAACACCGAGGTGGTGGTGGTGTTGATTGGGGAAAGCATTCTTTGTTGCTGTTGGAACTGATTAAACACGGCAGCTTTGTGTGATGGGGAGTTGAGCTCAGCAGAAAAAAGATCCTCAAGATTCGACGGGGTTAGCAGAGTTTTTGGGCGAGTCAGCGAAGGTGAAAAACAGCCAAGGTTGGAATCGAAATTCTCTCGCGCATTGAAAGAGGACCTTAGCCGGCTTGACTGAAGGTTGCTTCCGGGGAGATGAAGTGTGGGAACATTTGGTTGGTGCGGGGACCAGCTGACGGGAGGCGAATGTGGGATTGAACCAGCAGTGGGGGACCCAGGCAGAAGACTCAAGGCAGCAGCCATGTCCATAATACTAGCAGTGGCAGCAACAGTCCTAGGGGATGGGACGGCAGATCCAGTAGAGACATAGAGTGGCCGAAGCTCCTCCGGAGTGTGGGCAAAGAAGCACACTCGTCTGGCACACCCGGTACCATCCTTGCATAAACGGGTCCTGTACTGGGCTGGGTGTAGCCAACACTCAAACACCCCGTGAGCATATTCACACATATCCCCACGCCTACACGCGCCCTTGCGAAATTCAGGACATGGCACACAACTGTAATGGTATTTCCTAGGATCTCTTCTTCGTGCGTTCTCTCCTGGGTGAACAAATGGACACTCAGTCCAATCGTGGGAATATGCCCGAGAACATGGTCTGACCTTGAAGGAAAACATCCGGAACTCATCACTGGAGTATATCCCATTCTTGATGTCGGGTAGAGATGGGTCAATGGGGTATTCCTTCTTTGATTCCCTCATGTAACATGGAGACCCTGTCTCAGGGGATGAAGATAGGACCGGAGAGGATGCATTTGACATGCCTGAATCACTCCCACCAACTGAACCCTCAGATATATTACTGGACAACAGTTCCTCAATGGATGCTCTACCTCCTGGAAGCTTTGGAGGGACAGATATGACATCAGCGGCACGCATACCGTTTACATCAGCAATGTTTGGGTCAGCCCCAGCTGATATAAGCAATCTGACAACCTCGGCCGCGTTAACAGAACCACCCGACGAG